ATTAAACACTAAATAATGGCGAAAACCGGTGGTTTAGTACTATTATAGTTTTTGTTTTGGCACGTCGCCATTATTTCTTTTTTCGCAAATAACTTTTGATTTTTAAATTCGGCTACAAAACTGATTAAAGCACTAACCTCTACTAACGAAGCACTAAAGAATGATATAAGTTTCATCGTTAGTGCTTTCATAATTTTCCAGCCGAAATTTGACCTCTAAAAATTTCTTTAGCATTTTACAATTTTTCTATATGACAGTTAAGTAAATTAATAACGGAATTTAAATACACTAATTAAGCACTAAATAATGGCGAAAACCGGATGTTTAGTACTCTTATAGTTTTTGTTTTGGCACGTCGCCATATTTTTGTTTTTTCGTGAATAACTTTTTATTCTTAAATTCGGCTACAAAACTGATTAAAGCACTAACCTCTACTAACGAAGCACTAAAGAATGATATAAGTTTCATCGTTAGTGCTTTCATAATTTTCCAGCCGAAATTTGACCTCTAAAAATTTGAAAAGCGTGTTATTATTTTTTCATATGACGGTTAACAAAATAAATTACGGAATTTAAATATACTATTAAGCACTAAATAATGGCGAAAACCGGATGTTTAGTACTCCTATAGTTTTTGTTTTGGCACGTCGCCATTATTGGTTTATTTTTGTTTTTTTCGTGAATAACTTTTTATTCCTAAATTCGGCTACGGAACTGATAGAAGCACTAACCTCTACTAACGAAGCACTAAAGAATGATATAAGTTTCATCGTTAGTGTTTCCAAAAGTTCGGCCAACTTCATGCCTAAATCGTGACGTCATAGTTTTTATTTTGCTAATAACTTTTTATTCTTAAATTCGGCTACGGAACTGATTGAAGCACTAACCTCTACTAACGAAGCACTAAAGAATGATATAAGTTTCATCGTTAGTGCTTTCATAATTTTCCAGCCGAAAATTGACCTCTAAAAATTTATTTAGCGTGTTACATTTTTTTCATATGACGGTTAACAAAATAAATTACGGAATTTAAATACACAATTAAGCACTAAATAATGGCGAAAACCGGATGTTTAGTACTCCTATAGTTTTTGTTTTGGCACGTCGCCATTATTTGTTTATTTTTGTTTTTTTCGTGAATAACTTTTTATTCTTAAATTCGGCTACGGAACTGATTGAAGCACTAACCTCTACTAAAGAAGCACTAAAGAATGATATAAGTTTCATCGTTAGTGCTTCCAAAAGTTCGGCCAACTTCACGCTTTGACGTCATAATTTTTATTTACCTTATAACTTTTTTTTATAAGGCGGTTAAGTAAATTAATAATGTAATTTAAATACATTAATTAAGCACTAAATAATGGCGAAAACCGGATGTTAAGTACTACTCTAGTTTTAGTTTTGGCACGTCGCCAATATTTGTTTATTTTTGTTTTTTCGTGAATAACTTTCTATTCTTAAATTCGGCTACAAAACTGATTGAAGCACTAATCTCTACTAACGAAGCACTAAAGAATGATATAAGTTTCATCGTTAGTGCTTTCATAATTTTCCATCCGAAATTTGACCTCTAAAAATTTCTTTAGCGTGTTACAATTTTTTCATATGACGGTTAAAAAAATAAATTACGGAATTTAAATACACTAATTAAGCACTAAATAATGGCGAAAACCGGATGTTTTGTACTATTATAGTTTTTGTTTTGGCAATTCGCCAATATTTGTTTATTTTTGTTTTTTTCGCGAATAACTTTTTTTCCTTATATTCGGCTACTATCCGGATTGAAGCACTAACCTCTACAAACGAAGCACTAAAGAATGATATACATTTCATCGTTAGTGCTTCCAAAAGTTCGGCCAACGTCACGCTTAAATTGTGACGTCATAATTTTTATATACCTCATATTTTTTTTTATAAGGCGGTTAACCATAAAAATTACGGAATTAAAATTTACTAATTAAGCACTAAATAATGGCGAAAACCGGATGTTTTGTACTATTATAGTTTTTGTTTTGGCAAGTCGCCAATATTTGTTTATTTTTATTTTTTTCGCGAAAAACTTTTTTCCCTTAAATTAGGCTACTATCCGGATTGAAGCACCAACCTCTACTTACGAAGCATAAAAGAATGATATATATTTCATCGTTAGTGCTTCCAATCGACCTTTAAGCGTGAAGTTGGCACAAATTTTTATTTTTGCTTATAACCTTTTTTCCTTAAATTCGGCTACTAAACGGATTGAAGCACTAACAAGCACTAACGAAGCACTAAAAAATGATATAGAATTCATCGTAAGTGCTTCCAATTGTTCGGCCAACTTCACGGACCTCACTTTTACCAGATTTGTGCTGTAAATACTGATATCCCAAGTATTCTATGTAGTCTTTATTTTTTATTGTTTTCTAAATAAAAATTTAAATGTAAATAAAATTTTCATATCTATAAATTATACATACTTTAATATCTAATTTCCTAAGCTTAAGTAAATTATGGTTAATGATGCTTACTACCATGAATGTATGGAAATATTTTAAATACCAATCTAATTTGCTAAATACCGACCAAAATTTATTAAAATGTAATAAGACCCTTATTATTTAATATATTAATACGGAATCACGTGGTCGAGTTCGGCCTTCTATATATCATCCCCCCAAGGATGGAATCACCAAGTTAGAATAAGAAAAAAAACATGATCATTCACGGGACTCGAACCCGGGGCATGGGATAAGTAAGTCAAGCTCTTGCTTACTAGGCCATAGAGGCTTTACAAAAATCCCGATTTTTCAAATATATATTATAAATATATTTGGTAGTGCCTATCCAAATGAAAAATGAACAAAATTCAAATTTGATAGATGGTACCTTAAGGTAGTAAGCATCATTAACCGTAAATTATTTATGTTTTCTGCTACGGTTTGAATCTTCATTTTTTTAATAAAACACTAGTAGCCATCTTTGGGATTTTCACTGGTAACAAAATTGGGAACATCATATTTTTTAGCGATTTTTCATCTAGCGATTTAGAACCGATTCCTAAATTATTAAATAACCCTAATAAATAAAATCATTTATTTATTGAAAATTAATAATTTAATATTTTAGCCGAGTTCAAAATCACTAATCAATTATATTATTGATTTTTAAATTTAATTATCATGTTTCTTCCTAAAATTATTTTCAAGGTCCAAATCCATTTAAGTATAAGAGATTTATTTATAAAAAGTAAGTAGACATATAGTTTATAATCCTCTATTATATATAATTATTTATAAAATATTAGGTAAAATGCCACTTTTACAGGTATCTGAGTTATATAATATATTACAGTTAATATTTTTAAAATTTTATTAATAAATGCTTTTGGTAATAAATATAAGTAAAAATTTGCTTATAAATATTTAACGCCATCTATTTATTTAAAATATAATTATAATTAAACGTAATATTATTCATCCCACAATAGCTGTAATAAATTAGATATCTTTTCTTCTCTTATATTTTTCTTCTTCGAAAAATAGATTTAAGTTAATTTTTCTTCTTCGAAAAATAGATTTAAGTTAAATCTTTAAAGCAAATATATTTTTGATATTATTATAAAACAAGAAACTACTATTATTTTAAGATATAATATACCAACTAGAGTTGGTGCGACAATAATATATAAAATCTATATTGCTTTCATGATATCACTCTGGTTCTTATTTTGTAGTTACAAAATGTTTCATTTCTAATATGGCATCCTTGCCGTGTAAATAACTCAAGGCTTCAATATATTTGCATAATTTCTTCTAAAGGTTTTAATATTTTTTTTTATCAATTTATCTAACAGAATAAATTGTGATGGGTTACCATCGTGAGTGTCATGGATAGGACTGCAAATTACCAGCATCTATTATTTGTGTGGCTATGTAATTTGAGGTTATTACTACAGCTGCTGTGAGCATATGATCGCACCTTTTAGATAAGCAATAGATCAACTGTGTAGTTGTTTATATAACATTGAAAATGGAAGATAATCTTTTAGAAGTTTAATATCATACAATAATTTTCTCGATTACTTATCTAGCTTCCATCATGTCATCTAAGAGGAATCTCTAACCATCATATAGTTTTATGATTTGGATTGGTCGTTTATATTCTCTTCTTCAAGAATTGTAGATTTGAAAAGTCTATAAATTTTTTCTTAATAGTCCATTCTATAAAACATTGTCTAAAACGGTAATAGGGAGTTATATTAGTTTCATGACCTTCTGTCAATGTAAGTTGCTAAGAATTATAATATATTATGTAGTTTTCAAAAACTATCATCAATTGAGGCATATATGAATTAATTAACCTTTTTAATCATTTATTATTCTTTAGACGCAAAATCATTTTATATCAACAATCGAAAATATTTTATACTGTAATAAATATATTTTCTATTAAAAAATATTATTTTTAGAAATGTCTTATATTATTTTTATATGCTAGTTTATTTTGCATGTAAAATATAATAAATGACATTCAGATTAATTATTTAAAGTTAGTAAATTTTAAAAAAGTATAATATATTAATAAAAAACTCGCCCCCCCCCCCCCATAAAACATTTTTAGTTGAGCCCCCTGAGATTGTAAAGGCTAGCGACGCCTCTGATAATGAAAAGTTTGATATATAGATTTTCTTTTGTTAGATTGATAAAAGGGCATATATTACAATCAAAATATGTTTTTTGAATAAACATGAACAGTATAAAGTTGCTGATAAATATTTGGTGTAAAGAATGTACCATCCATATACTCTGTATCAGATTCTGTCATAATCTTGATAAATTCATGGGTTAAAAATTAGAATTTTATTATTGTGATTCTCTAAAAGGAATGAATTTAATATTCTACAGTTTGATGATCTATTAAATAATTGTTAAATTTAACAAAATATTTATATATGTTATTGATGATAATATTACTAAATAATTTAAATTTACCGCAATTAAATAGACCAATCAGAAAGATGAACTAAATTTACGATCAAATGACTTTACGATCATAGTGCAAATCATTTTTAATATTCTCTTGAAAGGTATGGCAAAATTTTTATTATATGTTTAAAATATTCCTATCTTATGAAATTTATGCTTATATATAAATTAATAAATATATAAAATAAAGAATATACAGCCCATGCTTGATTAAACTTTTATAAATAAGAATACTGTGTTTATATATAAATTAATAAATATAAAATAAAGAATATACAAACCATTCTTGATTAAACTTTAATAAATAAGAATACTTAATTAGGAAAAATATATTTTACATAAGTTTTTCCTAAAACATTATACTTTGGGATTGAAATATGTAATATTTATGAATAAATGATATTTATATTTGATAATTATTAGATGAAAAAAAACTTTAGTGATAAGATTTAGAATAAAATTTTAACCTATTACATTATTTTAAACTTTTTTTTCATGATATATTGCCTATAAAATTTTACATTACTTAAAAATTATTGTTCAAATTTATTAATAATTTATAAGCAGATAATTATAGAAATAATATATCCACACATTGGTCACTTATATTAGTTCATTAAATGTAATTAAATTATCTTATTCTTTAAAACTATTATTTTTATTAAAACATTTTCTATTCATTAATAATTTATATATTTTGTAAAAAAATGTGTATATATTTTGTAAAAAAATGTGTATATATTTTGTAAAAAAATGTGTATATATTTTTTACAAATTACATTTTTTTTGTTTTATGTACAGAATTACAAAAATATATCTTATTAGTAATTAGAGGTTGGTGCATTTTAAACTAGCCTATTGAAATTTTTAATTTGGTCATTTGGTCTGACCCATAAAATACATAATAATTTTTAATGAAAGGAATCAACATAAATTTGCCTAATTATAGATTCCTATAAAAATATTTTAGATAATTTGACTGACCTAAAAAAAATTTGCATGGTCTGCAGGCCAGGTTAGGCTGACTTCTATTAGTAATCAATTTCTTTTAGATTTTAAGTTCCAATAGTATATATAGATTATATGTTAGCAAACTGATCATAAGAGCGACTTTTAACCTTAACTACTTATATCAATTATGTTTACATTGAATTTATTTTAAATTTAGATTTTCCAATATTTTATTTTGTTAAATTGATCATATTATTTCAATATATAAATATGATTATATTTATTCTAAATTGTTAATAGACCAATAAATTATAAGTATGCATTTGATTATATATAAGTATAACATGACTGGCTATCCATTAGAAACTTTACTAAATAAGAGCCTAATTAAAGATATATATAATGATTTTTATAATTGTCAGAGACTGCAGTGTTGTGTTATTAAAAAGTTGAGTTCATCGTACTCTCAGTCTATAGTCATTAGTAATTTAGTCTACTAACTTAAGTCATGAACCCAAGTTTTCCACTTAAGTAATTAATATGAGTCAACTAGAGGATGAATATTTTGATTTAGTATTGTAGAATCATTTAACAAACAAATTCCCACTAGAGGGCAATTATTTAAAATTAGTTATTATAAAACATTTATTATTACTTTAGACCAGGGTTGTGAACCTGGACCCTCTAAACCCTTGTATTTTAACTTAACCTGAACCTGGACCCTTTTTAAAAGTGCAGGGTCCAAGGGTTCTAAGTGTCATAAAAAATTTTAAAAATAAAAATATTTTTTTAAAAAATAATATAAATTTGTTTAAATTTTAATAACTTTTTTTGTGGAATCATTAATTTTATCTTCACATTTTTCTTTCAATTTTCTTCCTGAACTTTCATTTTATTTATAGATTGATATTATTAGTGTAGGTATTAATATTTTACTATGTAAATTTTTTAATATGCTATGTTATAGAAATACATTGATTATTTTTAAAATGAATTGTGTAATAATATTTTAATTTAAATGATAATGCACAACACTTTGCTTCTCAATTTTTATGATGCTATAATGATTATTAAGTTTGAAAGATTTCTGTAATGATTTTATTATAGGATGTGAAGTCATTTTATCGGAAGATGTTTGGTGCCAAATAAAGGACCTTACTAGTGTATTAGTTCCTTTAAAAATAACAATATTAAGATTACAATCAAAACAATTATGTTTATTTGATTTTTATGGCATATGGGTTAGATGCCGATTATATCTAGAAAGATTTACAGTCTTTTTATACAAAATATTAGAAAACATGAAAATTCGAGAGCAAAAATATTTACAAAATTGTGTTGTATACGCTTCTTTATATTTAGACCCTCGATATTAAGTTTTATTGAGTATTGAGCAAAAACAAATGGCTAAAGACCATCTTAAGGATTTATGGCATACGCAAAACTCCATTATTTACAATATATTGGAGGCTACAACAATACCTACTGGTTGTAGTGATAATAATGATAATGATAGCAACATTGTTGATCTTGAAATTAGGAAAAAAAATCAAATTATCATCAGATAGAAAGGAGGATTAAAAAATGCCTATTGCATCTTTAATAGTAAAGTTCTCAGAAGTTAAGAAAATAAATAAGGATATAAATATTTTAAAAATATTGGGAAGAAAATTCTTCAATATATCCAGAATATTATATCTTATCTAGAAACTTCATGGCTGTACCGGCTACACAAGTACAATAATTTTATAAAGATAACTATATTTTAGGTAAGGGTAGAACGTGAATTTTCATCTTTGAAATATATTGTTTACTTTACATGGAAATCTCAAGGATGATATTTTAGAAGATATTATATCGGGGTGGTGCAGTGGTGTATGATGAAGGCTTGTAAACCGAAGGTCCCAGGTTCAATCCTGGTAAGGAGCTAAAAATTTTCGGGTTTTTCTTTGATGGTGTATGGCTTTAGACATATGATATGATAAATTTCTGAGCTGAGAAATGCCACCCTGGTCACCGACAGGCTTGGACAGCCGGGTGCTAGGATACTTGTCCAATAAACCAAAAAAGATGGCCAGCTGAATTTGTGGGTCAGATGATAACGTTTTCTTGGCCAGCGCTAGGATGATGGGATGATGGTGACCTTGGGGGCCATTCAAGCTCAATGTCTACCAAGTTACAATGGACTTGATAATGATACTCTGGTGGGAGATCCATCGGTATTGATACCAGTGGGAGAGATCAGGATTGGGATATCTGTCGATGTGATAATTCAGTATGAGGAATACTTAGATGAGATATCTGGTCGATATTGATTTGATGCACTGGTGGGGGAGATCAAGATACTTTGGCCTCGTGATACAACAGTGATTGATACAAATGAAATAGATCAGAAATACAAATATATTGGGAGATCAGGATTGGGATATCTGTCAATTTGATAACTCCATGTTGGGAATACTCAGGTAGGATATCTTGTCGATACTGATTTGATACACCGGTGGGAGATCAATGGCCTCGAAAATGATACACCGGTGATCAATACAAATGAATTCGATCAGAAATACAAAGATAAAAATAGATAGCATGATTAATAATATAATAGATAAGTGAAGTAGCTTACCATCAGAAAAGGTGAAAGCTAAAAAGAAGAAGAAAAAAAATTATGATTGTGCCATTTAAAATATAAATTATTTCGTTTTTAAATTTTTCATTTGTAAATTGTGAATATTTATATATTGAAGTACAATAATAAATGAATGAAAAAAAAATCTTATTTTGAGTCATTATTTTATGTTCCCAACCTGGATCCTTTTCAAATTTTATTCCTATACCCGAACCTGACCCTTTTTTCTTTTTTTTGTTGAAGGGTTGCTGACTTACAGCTTGAGTCGTGAATACGAGTTATATACTTTATTCGACTCAAGAATGAGTAGTTCTTATGAACTCGAGTCATAAACTTGACTAGACTAAAGGACAAATAATTCTTTTGAACTCAAGTCATAAACCTGAGTAGACTAGAAGATGAGTATTTCAAATTAGTTATTGTTTTTTATATTTTTCCAAGCTAAAAAAATTGGCTTAACTTTGAAACACTTGAAAAAAATTGTCAAAGCCTTGAACTCTAAATCTGTGTATTATCACTCAGAATTGGAACTTAATAAATAATTATTATATTTGACTATTGAAAAATAAGGATGGGTATTGTATTGTTAATTTGCTTAGTCTTAAAATTTTGACCCAATTTGGTGCTCAGGCTGGCTTTGAGCATGAACCAGGGGCTCAGTGCAAAATATTGATATGGGTATCAAAAAAGGTAAATTATATTTTGATTGTAATCATAATTTTTATTCTAAGTGTACTTATCTAGATATAATTATATTTAAAGGTTTTCAATTAAATTTTTTGATAAATATATCAAAATTCTTTGGCTTTGTTGGTAAAATGCCAAACTTGACTGTCAATATTTTTAACTTATAGGTTAATGGCAAAAAATAGCAGTTTGTAAGTGACTACAGGAGTAAAAAGGAAGTTATTAAGATTTTTTGCATTTATTCATCTTTAAGTTATTAATTTTCTAGGTGGGTCAATAATAAAAAAAATTGGTGGGTCTTGTTTAGAAATATATATTTTTTAAAAAAATTAAATTTAATCTGGGAAAATAAATTATGGTATGATTATGGCTTGTGAGCCATAATTACCATTGGTTATCTTTTATTTATTTATCTGTCATATAATTGATTGAATTTTATAAATTTAATTTTTTTTTAAATATTTTTTTGTTGAATGATATTTTTATTATAGAAAATTATTTAGCCATTTTTTGTAAAAAGATAAATGAAAATGAGATGGATAGGATAGGATAAAATTTAAATAAAGGGAAAAGTAAATTGGGTAAAAAATCTAGATACTTTTTCTAATTGTTTTTCTTACATAGATTGCATACTTTTATGAATTATAATATTTTTTAACTAATGATTCTTTCTCAATGGCCACTTATATCAATACTTATAAGCTTTTTTTCTAGCTACATATTTTCTTATACAATTAAATACTACTCTTTAAAATAGTTATTTTTTTAAATTTAAAATATAAAAATGTATAAAAAATTATATATTCTATCTATTTATAATAAATTTTTCATGAACTA